TAAATCTCACATAGGCACATGCTTGCTCTATCTTACATATGCTGCCTGAAAACAGAATTGGTGCAGTATGACTTTTAAAAAGTATATCATAAATAACTGGTAATTAAAACCAAAGAATAGAACCACCGACTATTAGTCCAGAGGGTCTCCTCTATATCCAACAATAGCCTACATTTAATGCTTCAGCAGAAGTCATAACGTACCTGAAACCTATGCAAAATATATAAAGGAGAAAAATGTCTCCAGTAAGTCATCAGTCTGTGAAGCATCACCGACACTAATGTTTAGAGTTGTTCTCCATGTCAGCATGTCGTTGTTATTCAGGTACATGTCTAATTCTTTAAGAAAATCTTCTAAGCCATTTGTTTCATTTGCTGAACAATTTGCTCTAAAGTACAGATTTCCAGAGACAAAGTGGTATATTAAATTAACATGCATTTAGGAGGAGAGGGGTGTTAATGCAGACTTTCACTGTCTCTTCATTTCAAAGGTTTCCCTTCCTCATAGAGTGCAGTAGGGCAAAATATGTGTTTCATCTGCTTCCTAGGTCCAGCCATCCCTTCCTGTAGAGAGGTTTCCTTTAGGACTCATACTGCTTGGCCTCTCTCTCCCCGTGGGGTAAGACAGAAGTCTCTACCCATCTGTTGCTCTGAGTCTGAATCAAGTTGGGAAGCTGCCACAGAAGCAGAGGTTGGCCTGGGAGCTGCACTCCCATGCTTGCCCACAGAGAGCAGAGCAAAGTTGGAGCTAGGAGAACACAGGCCTAACTCAGGGGATTGTGGCAGTATGAAAGGCTGGGGAGTAAATTCTGCCTGAAGCCTAGGCACCCCCTCTTCTCACAACTAGCCCACTGTGCTGCTAGAGGAGATTTGTGCTGCTAGAAGAGATCTTATGACCTGGATGAAGGGACAGAGCGCGCCCTCAGCAAGTTTGCTGATGATAGTAACCTGGAAGGAGTGGCTGACGCACCAGAAGGCTGTGCTGCCATTCAGAGGGACCTGGACAGGCTGGAGAGATGGGCGGAGAGGAACCTCCTGAAGTTCCACAAAGGCAAGTGCAGGGTCCTGCACCTGGGGAGGAATAACCCCAGGCACCAGGACAGGCTGGGGGCTGACCTGCTGGAAAGCAGCTCTGCCGAGAAGGACCTGGGAGTCCTGGCGGACAACAAGTTAAGCATGAGCCAGCAATGTGCCCTTGTGGCCAAGAAGGCCAATGGTCTCCTGGGGTGCATTAGGCAGAATGTTGCCAGCAGGTCGAGGGAGGTGATCCTGCCCCTCTCCTCAGCCCTAGAGGGCTACTAAGATGATGAGGGGACTGGAGCATCTCTCCTATGAGGAAAGGCTGAGAGTGCTGGGCCTGTTTAGCCTGGAGAAGAGAAGACTGAGGGGGGATTGAATCAATGTTGTGTACAAGTATCTGAAGGGAGGGTGACGAGAGGATGGGGCCAGACTCTTCCCCGTGGTGCCCAGCGATAGGACAAAAGGCAATGGGCACAAACTGAAAAAAGGTAAATTCCAGCTGAACTTGAAGAAACACGTCTTTACAGTGACTGAGCACTGGAACAGGTCACCCAGGGAGGTGGTGGAGTCTCCACCCTTGAGATATTCGAAAGCTGTCTGGACACAATCCTGGGCAATGTGCTCCAGGTGATCCTGCTGGAGCAAGGGGGTTGGACTAGATGATCTCCAGAGGTCTCTTCCAACCTCAACCATTCTGTGATTCTATGGTTCTGTAAGAGCGTATGCTATTAAAACATTGCACTCTTTGATCTTTGGAGTAGAAACTGTCAACTTCTATACGTTCGTGCACCTTCTAGTGTACTGGCTGACTGATTTCACTGGATGATGATGATAATGTAGATAGGAAATTAGCCTCTAATTCTCATCTGTAGATGAAAGCAGTTACATTTGCAAGATTTAGTTTATCTTGTTTTAGTGTCTTTTCTTATGGCCTTGTTCCTGTTGTTCTTTTAGGTTCCTCTTCCTGGTCTTCTTTTATTTTGGATAAAAATTTTAAATTTGTTTTTAAAATTTTTAAAACCAGAAACCAAAATGCAAAACAGCATTTAAACTGAGTATATATTGTTGAAAGTGCTATCGTATTTGCTGTGTTTTCCATACACTTTGTTTAGTTATATAGTGCTGACATCCTATTCCATTTTTATTGGACTATTCCCATATTTGAGGTCTATTACATGCTTGATTTTAAAGCCATCTTCTAAAATCCAGAAGAAAAAAAATATCCATTTCATCACGTTTGTCTTATCTCCATAAAACTCATCTGAGCCGCTCTTGATTTAGATAGGGGTTCACAAGTTCACTTTGCTTGGATATTATGTAAAAGTCATGATTGTCTTGGTATAAGCAACTGTAGTGGTTTACAAATAGGAGAAGACATCTCATTGCTTCCTCATCATTCTCCTGAATCTGTCTTCATATCAGCACGCTCACCAAAAATAGCATCCCCATATTATGCTCTTGTGCTGTTCTTACTACCTCTTTTTGTCCTCACGTCTTGACCTACCACCTGCAGCCACTCCGAACAGCCCCAAACCCCATCCCTTTACCCAGCTGTTTCTAGCCCCATTGGCTATCTCTGAATGCTATTGCTGAATTCATGTTCATGAACTACTAATTATATGTGTACAACACATATGGGAATCTCAAGTACAACATACATTGAAATCTGGCAGCCTTCTCCCTGAAAGGGAGATTTGGACATTATCACGTAAATTTTCCTTTTTTTAAAAAAAAGTCAGTAAGTCTGCAAATCCCATCTTTGCCTGTAATTATTTTTATTTGTAGGTATTTTTTGAAATTTTTTGAATTTTCTAAGTTTGTCTTACTTCCAGTTTAAATAGGTTTTAACTCAGGCTGAGAGAAGAGTAATGAACAGTGGCTCTTAAGAAACGCCAGCTAATAAAAAATGATGCAGCATGGGTAATGTGAGCTACCAGGAGGAACACATCAAACTTTCTCTTACTCTCTGCATTGCCTTTCTGCAGAATGTTATGTCATGTTCAAAGCGTTAGTCCTTAGCTCAGGTTACTCGGTGATTGGAGCCCAGTATTTCTAAATAAGAGTCTGAGTTCTGGAAACAGAAATAACCTAACTCATTAGACACAGTAGCAAGAGACGGAGGACGCCAAGGTGAGACCCTGGAAAGGATTCCTGTAAGAATTAAAGTCCACTGTGAAACTCACTAATTTTTCAACCAAGTTCAAAATGTACTTCAATTTTATCTTCCAAAGTGAAAATTAAAAATATCTGCAGATACGTCTAAAGACAAAGTAGCAAAACAATCATCTAGCTTATTTGCACTTCTCTTTCAGAGAGAGAACAAGAGAATAAATCTGTCAACTTTTAGTTGCAGTTCTTAATGTGCTGAGAAGTGTTCAGATAGTACGGTGACAAAAGCAACATAATGATCTGTCACGTAGGATAAAATACATTAGAATAACCTTTGTCCAAGTATTTTTTCATACAACTCTCAAAGATTAAATTGTAACAGATACGTAATTTTTTGAGGTGTAATATTCTTTTGCGTCTCAGGCGTGTGTTTTTGCTGATAGTGTGTAGCGTATAGTAGCAGCCAGGGAAGACACTGCACAATGCTAAACGTCTAGATTTTAATAGTGTTAAATATTTACTTCTAAGGCTTTTATCTTTATAGAACTAATCAGTACTTATTTGGAGAAAGTATTAACTAGAAATTTCATCCTAATAGTCAGAAGCTGTTTTATAAAATAGCTTCAAGGATGGGGTTCCTTGTCCTTATCCTACATGGCTTCTCTTTGGAAAGATCAAAGTTCGATGGAAATAGAGGTTTCATTCTCTGACATTTTTAGCATATGTCTAGCTGAGATTTTTAAGACTCAGATTTCACTCTTTAAAAGACAACTTCCCAAGCACTTCAGTGGGAAAGGATCAAATGCAAATGAAAATCAGTTTATAGATGTCATTTTTGGCGCCAGAATGAATCAAACTGGAGTAAAAGTTTAGGTGAACACTGGCTGAAATAGGCCCATTGTGTTTGTGGAATTTGCTTGCTGTGTGTACTTTGAAGCCTTTCCAGAGTATACAGGAAAAATCTCTTCCATTTCAAAAGTTCAACAGCTGTCTCCAGCTGAGACACATTTATAAACACTAGACCTTCCAGTACAACCGCTCCACGTCAGATGATTCTTCTCATGATGCAGGCCTTGTTTTCATACAGAATGACTTCTTATTTACTTAAAAAATATATTTATCGTTTTTTCTTTTCTCATTTAATAGAAGGTATCCTGATTTTCAGGATTTTCAGTAGGCATATTATAGGGCAGTGGAAGTGGAACAATGATCTTTTCTGTTTAAAGTGACGTTTTCAGAAGCCTCTACATTCCCCGTAATATTTATATTGGTGTGAAAATTGTTTCATGGCTTAAGATAGAATTTGGATCTAGAAAGTTGGGTTAATTTCATAACATGATTTTCTCAGATAGTTCTAGCAGAGGATGTTGATACCTTCTGTTACACACATGTTCTTCTAAAGGTTATGTTGTCTTTTCTCTTTTCTTTTAACATAAACAATCTTCAATAGCATTTGCTATGAGTCCTACCATGCAGCATTTCCTAGATGTCCTTTCTCTAAAATGGAACTCTTTCATCCTGATAATGCTTGAGATGTACAGGGAAGCATGAAGTATCTCAGATTTTATGTCTACCTCATTTGTTCATCTGCAAAGGAATATCTGAAAGTACACTGTAATCTGGTTTCCCAGTTTTCATAGAAGCATGTATGGCGCATAACATCAGAGCACCTATGCCATCTAACTCCAGCTCCTGACAAGCAGCTTTACATGCAGGAGCATGATATCAAAGAGATTATCTTGTTCTTTGGGTCTTATCGGCTAGTATGTAGACTACAAAATATGTCGTCTTGCTGCTCTGCTTATTTCAGTAATACCTACAAGAACTGTTGAATAAATGACACAAAGAAGCATGGTTATTGAGTCCAGTTACCTCCTTTGGAGTGCTGAGGAATCATGATGAGGTGAAGTCCTTAAGTTCTTCTATACAGGAGGAAGAAATAATCTAAAAAAGAAATGATTTTGAGGAAATTAATTGAGAAGGGACAATAGAAATTCTTTAATGTATTTCTTTCCTATGTACTGTCATTGCACTGTGCCTCTACAATAAACAATTAACAAAATGCTCAGCACATCTCTAATACCTTCCAAGGATTTCAAAGCTCTTAAGATGGATTGTGACTGACCATTGTGTGACTGCAGTGAATGACGGATCCAAAATAAGGAGCTTTCCTAATTTATGTTGCCCACGTCAGGACCAGGCAGGCTGCAGTCAGGAGCACAGGATCTACCCAATTCTCTGCTTTGGTTCTCCTCATATTGCAAAGAGAATGCCATGGCTCTGTCCTTCTCCTTCCCCCATGTCCTGGACATGAAGAGATAAGTACACAGCACATATCAGAGGAGTATAACTGGCTAAACTTCCCACGGGGCAACTAAAGAATTCAAGGAAGTTCCTCTCTTTTTAAGGCAGAATGCTTCTTGATTTACTAATGTAAAGCCACCTCTTAATGATAATGATATTAACTTAATTAGCTCCTCATTTTTTGCATTGTGTAACAAAAGTACATTGAATATATCTCCTATTGTATGGTCAAATCTAAGCATTACCTGGAAACTTCAGTGGAGCATCTCAATAATGACATTTCACATTAGAGAAACAATGGAGATCCAAGACGGGTGGGGTTTTATTTTTAAACTTTTTCGGTTATTAAACTTTTTTGTCAAAAATTGAAAGAGGAGACTTTTTTTCCTTCTCCAAATAGCTCTTTAATCACTGCTTGAGGTTGAAAAAAGTGTGTTGGAGCAGATGGCAAGAACATAGGATTTAAGCAGGGGACAGATGTATCCATATTAGGGAGCTTGGAAGATAAATCTCTTGGAGTCTTGTGGCAGACACGATCATTACTCTGTTTACATAGATAAAATATTACCAGTTACAATTAGCAGTTGCTGTTGTCCATATTTGGGATCTATCCTCTTCAGATCGTCATTAAAACCTGTTCTAAATCATTTTGTTTGTCCTACTTCCATACTGTGTATAAATCATTTAGGGATCCTAGCAGCTCCATTCTTTATGGAAAATATGTGTAGATAGATGTTTATACAACGTAAAAAAATTGTGAGGGGATTTGCTTTCTATTAAGCAGTCTGCTAGTACTGCCTCTAATGATGTACTGTCTCCTGCGATATACATGGGTACTGGGAGAACAGAAAAAGAATATCTCTATTCAGCCTCTGTGCTGCCAATCAGTTCTTTGCTTCTACCTCCCTCCCTGATACTATCAGCATTGTCCCCATTGCAAATGGTTCCTCTTAGGATCCTAATATAAAGCAAGTTACTGACCTTCCTACCTCCGTGGCTCTGGGGCGTAGGAAGGCAATATAGTAAAGAACTGTATTTTCTTCCTGTGGAAAAATCCTTAAGCTGTGTGACAGGCAGTGAAGAAATAACGTTATCTGTGTGCAGCTTCCTTCACTACAGAGGCACGTGGAAAAGCCTTTGTTGATTTGGGGAAAACAATGCTTTGGAGACGTGAAGAGGAAGTCCTCTTTAAGTGCATACATATGTGTGCGTGTGTATATCTAGTGTATGTACTTGGGTGAATTTAGAAGCTGCTGCTTTAATGCACTCTTAAAAAACTTATGCTCTTAAAAATTTAAGAAAAAAACAGAATCAGCTTAGACTGCTACTATTTAATTATAATTCCAACTCATCCCTATATTATTGCTGGAATTGAGAAACAAGTAGACATGCATTCCTAAGGAGGTGTTTTATTATTAATCACATTACTTTTGGGAGCAAATATTAGCACATCAGTTGAACATATTGAATTAGAGCAGCTGTGAAGTATACGTCCACTCTTTGGTACAGCATCCTTTGTAATGCTTTCTCCCTCTAACTGTAAACTGTAAAAATAGAGGGTGTCTAGTGTCTATTTGTACCAGATTCCTATGGTACTGATGTTTTTATCCATTAGAACATTTTTTATGATTAGTTTCAAGTTTAACTGAACTGACTGAAAATTGCATTTTGTTATGATTGAAGCAGGAAGCTCACCCTCCTTAATAAAGGGTAGAAGACAGTATGTCTCTAATAGGTATTAAGCACAAACATCCTCCAAAAGGAAAGAGGAAGATCGCAATAGTAATAGTAATGCTAAATTTATCTGGTTTGACTCCTATTCTATCTATAATAAAGTCAAAGGACATGAGAGAGAAACACAGACCAAAAAAGCAGGAATACGTAGGAATAAATGTCACGGACTACCTACCTTACTAGAACCCAGATACTAATATGCACAATGTAAAGCACTGCATTAGAAAGGCAGACTTGTATAACTGGTAAGTGCTCCAAAACTGGAAAATCACAAAATTAAGGTGGCATGTACAACAACTATGCTTTAGCATAGTGATACAGTTTTGAGTTATGATTACTCAGTTGGAAACAATATATTTATTATACAGTCTTTATTCTCATAAAGTGAAAAATAGTTTGGCAGTACTTCGCATTTCTTAGCATCTATCTTCCTGAAGTACTATGTGAAATTATGTGCAGATACGCTCATGGAATGACTTATTCAAAGAATAAGAATAGAAAAGAGTAGCACTTAGCACTTATAAGTAAAATATTTTCTACTATATTCTCGCTCTTGGGGAACTACATACTTTAGCAACTATCTTGTTGGGACATCTCATAAAAAACTGATTTTAACTAATGACTTTTTACGATAATAACTGTTTCTAGATTCAGGCAATGTTAGAAGAACTTTATTTAGTGCCAAGTAATTAGTAATTAATGAAGTGCTAACTAGGTGCCAAAATGTAAACTATGCTCTCTTCAAATCATTAGTTATAACAAGATTAAGGATTATTTTTTCTGCAGGACTCAGGAAGCTTGGCTGAAAGGCAACTAAATTAATTTGATTTTATAATAATGTATAATTTTAAAACGAGAGTTTTGTACGCAGCATGATGTGATCTGGCATAATCAAATACTATTTCTTTGTTGCCTTAGAATTCTAAAACAATATGTTCTGTGATCTATACAAGCAAAGCAGAGTCCATTGAAGTAATTTATAATTTTTTTATTCTAAAATGCTTACACTATATTCTCTTAATGAAAGTATAATAAACAGTGAGTGTAATCTGCTGGCATTTTTATAGACTTAAATTACAATAGTAAATGCTTTGGTTGCAGTCTCAACGACATTTCATTACATCTGCTACTGCAAACAGGCTACAGTTCGTATTCTGAAACATACACATTTTAGGTTGCTTAATGGAAAAATGTTTTTAATCTGTGAAATTATAAAGGAAATGATAAATTTCCATAATCTCAGTTGGTTGGTAGATGTTGGAGATGTAAGCTGTTGGTCTCCAAAAGAAATACTTATTTTCTATATAGATGAGGAGGTTCTACTCACAGTGAAACTATTTACACTTCTGCAGAGAAACAGAGTTGAGTAATGGAACGTATAAACAATCATCGTCGATGTAATTTGACCAAAGTATGTCTGAAAACTAACTTCTGAGATTCTGTAATAAATAATTATTCAGAAGAGTACCTATCTGCAGGACGGATAGACAGGCAAATACAATTTCTAAATTTGTTCTCATAAATGAATGTGGTGATGGCAAACGTGAGGTCCCGTGGGCAGTAAAATTTTAGAATAATTTGTGCAACAATATTTATTCAGGTTTGGCCATCTGTACGCATACCCTAACAGTCTGCCAGTCACAAGTGACAGTGGTTTCCTGTTACTTTTGACAGGAGCTTTTTTCATTACAATCAGCTATATTGCCACATTATTTTCATCTAGTCATTTCCTCTCCTTTTGATGCTTCCTGCCATTTGAATATTTAACAATACAGCTGGAATTTTCTACTAATAATGAATTTTAAATGGAGTGTTTAATGTAATGTATACCTATAAAATAATAAGGAATGTTAGCCACGTGTATAGAACGGGCAACCGAATATTGGAAAAATGCTGTCCTGGAAAAGATTTAGGAGTCACAGGGGAAAAACAGTTCAACAGGAGGCTCCAGTGTGAAACTGTAGCATTTCCACACTTAAATGGAGCCACATATTTCAGTTCCACTGTCTAAATTATTTTGAATAAAAAATATATTTTTTTCTCTTCTCACTTCTCCTCCCCCCTAAACTCTTTAGAATTCTTTTTGATACAAAATACTAGCATGGCATCCCAGTATTTTCTCTCTTTGCCTCCATTTCACATCTTGGCACCTTGCTTACATGACTGAGTAGACATTTCTACTGAACTACTGTCAAGCACGCCCATGTATTTCTTACACTACCTAAACTAACCTTTGTTACAGAACCCTCTAGAATATATAACCAGACTGCTTTCTTTCAGTATATACTATGTTTTAGTGATGTTTATTTATTAATATTGAATTTGTCACTGTACTGCCCTCCTGGCAAGTTAGGTCACTTGGAATATCTTCACAATCTGCCCCACTAACGTGGCTAATTTTGTGTCCTCTATAAATGTTGTCATGTCTCCTTCTGTTCTGTCCTTTTCCAGACTATCTGTAAAACGTATTAACAATATGTGTCCTACCATAGAAACTTAAAATACCTTACTACTGGCTTTTCACCGTCATTGTGACTGACCATTCTCCTGTTTCATCTCAGTTTTGGGTCCACAGCATTACTTCTTCCTCACAGCCCACGATGTGATTTTTTGGAAGCATTCAGGAAAGACTTGTACGATGTCTTTCAACATTTGTGCCGCCCAGCCCCCTGTACCCACCACTCAAATAATTAATTCTAAGAAGTTTGTTTTACGGGAGAAATTAATTTCCTCCTGCTTCAGTGAAAGAGAGTAACTTAGGAAAAAATTACCTTTGCTTCCCTTCTGTCCTCCTATAATCCTTTCTTATTTCTACGCCGAGCGTTGTTGCGGTTCCAAATCTGATGGAAAATTCTTTCCGCTCAGACGCTCTTCACTGACCTACCAGCTGAAAACTTTGCAGAAGGGTGGCCTTTGGCACTTTAATTTTCCTTTCATTTATGCCAATTCAAAGAGAATGAGCTCGATGCCATGTCAGATTACAGTGGTAAAAAGAGGAGAAAAAAAAATGTTTCCTTTCTAGGCACACAGCTTTATTAAAATTAGTAAAGCGGCACTGTACCTAAAGGTAATCCCCTTCTGCTTTACTGTGGAGCTTCTGCCTACAAGGTTTCTTAATTCCTTCCTGCCTTATTTTTCCTCTGAGCGTTTTGAAAGCCAGTACTATCTTTTCAGCCTGCTCGTTTAATCTGGACGGCTCAGCTTCCTTGGATCCTGGTATCTATGTCCTCGGCAGCCCACAGCTCGATGAGGAGTAAGGCAGTGCGCATAGCAGGTGGCTAGATAGTGGAGGGCAGCAATAGATTAGCTCGTGTAGGAACAAACTGCTGATTCCATCTCTCCAGGATGTGAAAGAAGCAATAACCATCTTAATTCCAGGACAGGGTAAAAACAGTAAGTCAATTCACAAGTTAATGAGATTTTTAGGTATTGTTTGTAAAGCACTCTGAATATGCATAAATGCTAACTATTAATTATTATGATCACTCACTTGGGCTGGAGCCTCCCGGGGTTGGAGGTGGGGGAGGAGGAAAAGTGGGCGATGCCAAGTCTTTTCTCCAAGACAGCACTACTGCTACCTCTTCCGACTTCATGGCAATTCTTGCAAAATTTGGTGGTTTTTCTGAAAGCTTTCCCTCCTGAAGTGATGCAAACACCTTGAGGGCCTTTTTTTTTTTTTTTTCGTTTTGAAAGCTAATCATTTCCTAACCATTGTGGGAGCAGAGAAAAATCTAGAAAGTCCTTGCGCTGTATTCCTTTGCCACCAACGAATTTCCTGGTTCACTTAAGCTTTTGGGGGCCAGTCTGTTTCCTTGCCCCCGCTGCCTTTCTAAGGAGGAGAGAGGAGCCTCCCAGAGCGGTGTTAACGTTTCAGTGCCTCCAGTAGCCCCTTGTTTTTGCCGGCGGG